AGCCTGCACCTTACTCACTATAGCATGCAATCTCATTCCCATTCGGGACCCTCATGAACTAGGTACAGCTCATGACCCACTACCCAGCTGCTTTTTGGTATTCAGGAGTGGGAGGGTAGCTGTGGCACTAGCCACAACTGGGGTGTGCATGGGATGGAATGCTGGTGTGAAAGGAGCCTTTTAGAAAGTGTTTTCTGTAACTGAAATCCTACAAGGCAGCTTCTCCACTTTGTGTCCCCCGGAACATGTTTCTCAGGAGGAGTTTCCTGTGCTGGCCATCAGAAAGCCAAAAGAGTTGCAGTCAGTGATTACGGGAGAAAAACAACTGCTGTACATGTTAAGTGGTGGTATACATGTTTTTTCCTGTTTTGAGATGCTAACTTTATGTGCAAATTCTTGTTGAAATCCATGAAAGCAAAAAGTAGCATAGGATCCTTTTATGCTGTATGAAAGGGCAGTTGCTGACACGATAACTTTGGGAAAACCACTAGCTGGCCGAGAACATCTACATTCAGTTCAATATGGTTTGCATTAATACACAAGCACTACAAAACAAAGAAAATATTTTAATAAGTGGCATTTTTTACTTTGGACTTTGCTCTTACAGTTTATATTGTTATTGTAATCCTGAATAAAATGCTGCCTTATATGGTATTGCTGGATTTCACTTACTGAGGATGGAGTTACTTTACTGACATCAAACTGAATTATGGGTATTTTCTAGTTATCTGTTTCAAATCATAATGGTCTGAGACTTGACATTTGGGATTGTCATAATAATGCTTCTCAAGTGCAGAAATATGCTTTTTTTTTAAGATCACTTCAGCAAGATTCATTATTTCTACTGTACCACCGTACACTATTTCACTATACCGTTACATTCATTTTCCAATACTGGTATTGACAAGCTATGACTGAAGCAGCCCTCAATATGTCAATGATGTTCTATAATGCAATAACCTGTGTAGATCTGAGAAACTCTGAGGGCTCTGTTGCATCCTGCTGTAAGAGGAATGTAATCTTAGCAATGTAGAGCAAACTAGTCATATGTCAAAATCTTCCCTAACACCTTCTGCAGTCAGTGGAAAGACTCCTGTTGATTTTCATAGGCTTGTAGTCCAAAGCTCCTGGGAACGTTATCATCCTCAATATTTCTTTGGCAGGTTTTGTTTGGGCTGAAAAAATCAGAAGAGTGGAAGTGTACCTATGACTTAATCTGCCCTTTTCACATCCTTTGGATGTTAGTGCATATATTGCTCTAGGTTATTTCCCATTACATGCTGTCTGTGCAGGATACTCATAGAAACATGGCATTTGTTGGTGTAGTGGCACAGGAATTTGTAACTTTGTACTGCTCAGAAGATGGGAAACAACTTCAGCACAGATCTTCAAAGGAGGCCTTATAATCGAGCTGCAAAGCAATGTGCTCATTTCCATTTATATTAGGAAATCACTGGCTGAACTTTACTGTCAGCATCAAAAATCTGCTGAAGCAGATGAGACACACAACTTTATAAGGTTGTTTACTTTGTCTTAGATTCTTTCACAGTTTATTATTTCTCTGACTGGTTCTCCAGCCTAACTGCATATTTAACATTCAGATCCTACTGTTTGTGCTCAGGAGAGTACATATCTCTAAACCATTGCATCTGGATGTAGCAGAGGTTCCAGAACCATTGATTATCTTCCATCTTTTATTTGTGTTTCAGTATCAGAGCAATACTGAGTAACATAAGACAGTGAGTTTTACTCTCTTCCTTTGCTCTGCATAAAAGGACTGCCAGTGAACTCATGCAAATGGGATTGGGAAATTAGATGGGGAAAAAAAAGGTTATATCTGATTATTTCCTTCCTATGCTGTTGTGAGCAGCCATACCATCAGAGATGGTTTTAGATATCTCTAAAGGCTGTTGTGGCACACATCTTGCAGACTTTAGAGGTAGAAAAGAAAGTCCTAGCTTCCATTTCAGAAACAGCGTCAAAGTTAAATTTGGTTCCTGCCAAGCTGAATTCTGATAAGCTGGAGCAGGGCTTTGAAAGCAACACAGTCCCTGGTACACCATATGGCAAATAGCCACAAAAAATTATTGCTGTTGCAGGAAACAAAAACTCCCCTTCCACTGCTTTTGCAGAACAATGAGCCGGCATGAAGAATAGTAGCAGCTAGAGTGGCTAGGTTATAGGATGGGTGGGGTTTGAAAAACGGTCCCCTTGCCAAGATTCAAGAGAAATTCCCCTCAATTCTGATGGCTTTCAGCTGGAAATACTGATTTTGCCTCCTGTGCTATCTGTTGCAGTTGTTTCTGCAGAGAATGCAAAAGCAAATGATGGGAGAAATAAACAGGGTTTGGGGGAGTTCTGAATTCTTCCTTTGTAAGATTTCACAGGAAAAAGTAGATCTGTCCTGGGGCTCAACTGTGGGCGCACTTCACTGTTTTGTCAGTTTCTTTGAGTTCGTTTGCTTTGTTTTTGCACAGTAGTTCAGAGAGAAGGAAAACATCAGCTCTACTCTAATTGCACTTCCTCTGACACCAGCAATGAGAAGTTTTTTTCCAACATCTCCCTGAAATGTTATCAGGTCTTGCCTGAATGAAATAAAATTAGTTGAATTATTTAACTATAGCTTTTACTTTAGCTATGTCACTGTTAAGATTCAAAGGACCCACTTTTTATTTATTTCAAGGGCCATTTACACCTCTTTGGCAAAGAAATCGCAGTGCGATAAAAATGCACCTTCCATCACATGGTGTAAATGTGGACAGGAATCAGCCCCACAGAATCTTCATGAACTAATAAAATAAAAATTCACACAGTAACAGAACTGTTTCTGGACATAATACTAAGTATTTGTATAGTTATATAAATAGCATTGCATAGTCTCTGAAGACTCACAATATCATACAACATAATACTGTACAAGACATCAGCTTAAAAACAACTGTTTTATTTCCTTGCAAAATCTCCCAGTATTATATCAGTTAAATTGCCTTCCTTTTGTTTATCTCAACAATTTGCTTATTGGCTTTCTGATTCCTTTTTTTCCTTTGGCTTTAATTTAAGTGAAAACATTAGTTAAAAAGTGAAAGGACTATTTAAGATCTAAGTGAAAAGATTAGTTAAAAATAATTGTCCCTTATTAAATACATATTAATTCAGCAAAAACCTTAAACAGAGGAATGGCTTCAGTGAGACCTACATTCTTAAGTTATGCTTAAAGCTAACGACGGACTTGTGTGTTTTTTTGCAGAACAGGTCTGAACACAAGTACATTTTAAAACACTTCCTTGAATCATTGTTTGAAATACATGCCTAAATCCTATTTAATTCACTGAGATTCAAGCATATTGCTTTGTGTGTACACTTAAGCGCCTTATCAGGATTCTTCTCTGTACTAATGCTGAAGTAGACATGGAAATGTTTTGAACTTTTCAGAAAAAAAGTTAGTGACGTAAAAGGAATTCTACAGCAATTCTGTCCCAGCTGGTAATGTAGCCTAGGGTGTACTCAAAATAGAGAGTTATAAAAAGTAATGCTGGAAGATTAATTTGATCTGTAAGAAGAACTTTGGCGTAGGGCACATTTTATTTTACAGAGATACACTTAGGAAGGTGTCAGGAACTGCCATGATGAACATCCTACTGAATGAGAGATCTGTATGAAACCTGGCTTTGAGAATGGCCATCATCCAGTCCAGCAATAGTTCTTTCCTAGGGACAAAAGGAAATTCACTCCTTAGAGTCCCTCCCATTTGGTAGATAAGGAGAAAGAGAGGCTTTTTATTTAAAAGCCTGTTTGTTTTTTAACATTCAACAGGTGCCAGGGATGGATAGATTCCTACTGACTTTAGTCATTACTGGCTTAATATAATGAGCCTACTGAAGAGTCAGTCATCAAATACTCCTGCATTTTCAAATCCAGGAGCACCCACATGGGACTGCTACTAGACCCTGGGTATTTATGTCAATAGAACAGAATTTTCTGACCAAAATAATACTGCAAAGATCAGTCGCCAAGATTTGCATAGTTTTTGTTTCCTTGAAACACTGCTGTTAAATATGTTACAAGTATGTTTGCTTGTATACATGTGTGTGTATATATGGCATGTGCAAGAGAGAGATGTATGTATACATAATAGAGAGAGAGACCTTCAGGTTCCATTTTTGTGTCACTGAATTATTTCTAAGCATCTTGGATGGATACAGGAGACCTCAAGCAATAGCAGGATTCAATGTTTCAAGTTTTGTTCAAATGCTGCTTACAGGAAATCTGAATTAAAATATGCTTTTAAAATGTTCTTAGTGCTAGTCCCTTATAAGGATTTTTTCTCAAGGTTCTGATGGTTCATGTTCTATATGAATTTCTACTGCAAAATAGTAGGATAAAACAGTATATCGAGCTTCAGAATAAACCAGTCAAGTTCAGAAAATGAACGGAATGGCACCATAGTCTAATGTAATTACTCCCTGTAAATATTCAGAGAGCAAAATCCGATTCAGTGGCAAGTAGCTTGAAGAAAGACTTTTATGGCTTGATATGCCAAAACCCAAGACTTTAAAAGGTCAGAATAATAACTAATAATATTTGATACTACTGGAAATATTTGTATGTGTGTAAGCAGTGCAGTTCTCCAGCCTGCACCTGGGATCAAACTGTGTAGCACGGAGAAATTTCTGTGCAAATGGATCTCCTAGTGAGAGAGGCAAAATCCTAAACTCAGGGCTCATAAAACTCTATCCTGCCATTTCTAGACACCCTTGAGATTTTTCCACTCATGTTCTACCATCCACAATAGAAAAGCTCGTACTGTAGTAATAGTAATACTTCATATTTGTGTCTTAAATAATTTCTGTTTACCTGTAGATTCCCCTGGCAACTTTAAAGTGACTGTACCATAGGCATTCCAATAATATGTCGTACCCACATTGCTGTCCTTGAATAAGGATCACAGCTTTAAACCGGTGTGCTTCTGTTCCATTTTATACAGTCTGACTGGAATTTCCTTTCTAAGCAAACACTCCAAAGAATGTTTTATTACACTTCTTTCAAAACATTTCAAACTTAAATGACAACAAAAAGAAAACATTTATTGCTCTAATACATAATAGCAAGTGGATATTATTATTTTTTGTAAAGTATTTTAAAAACCCCAAGAACTAAAATATTGTTTGATGATTACAGAGACTTTAGTATGTGATTATACAGTGGTTTAATCTATATTCATTTTATACACAAAATAAAGTTCATGAAACAGTAAGCAGCAAACTCTGCTATGTATATGTGTATTAGCTACAATTAGCCTGATCCAGTAGATGCTGAGCACCCTCAACAAGTTGACTCCAGTCAGTGTTAGAAGATGGTCAGCAGCTTCTAGGATGGGGCCCAAATGATGCACTTGGAAGGAGTATGTGAAAGCAATGACAATATTTTAATGGATATTTTCTTACAGAATCACTAAGAAAATATATTTTAATAGTCATTGATAAGCACCAGCTCACAACACTGCATGTGGCTGCATTACTTGCACATTACATTTCCTGACACACTGCATGTACAATACATCTAGAATTCTCGGCACAGAGAGAACTGAGAGAGTTGTTACATAGCACTTACAAATTACCACAGGGAAAATGTAGTTTTTAGTAGCATTTTCAACAGTGAAGTTGCAACATTATTTTAGTGACTATGTTCCTTATGCAAAGGAAAAATAAAAAGTAGTCAGTGACATACTTCCTGAAATTTTAATACTGGCTTTCAGGTGTTAACAATCTAAAGTGCTTTCGTGTTTCATACATTTTTAAAAATTTTCAATTTATACAAAACCCAAAATATTTATAAATTTATTCTATATGCTTGTGAATGTACAATTTAGTCTATCCCTGTTTCCTCACCCAAAAAATTGGCATTGCCATCTCCCAAATCTCTCTTTTGAAACCAAGTCTGTGAGTTTGTTCCTTGAATATAAGAATCCAGAAAATAGCAAATTCCAGGGATATCACTGGGAAAATTTGGTGGAAGCTCTTCTCTTGAACGAGGTGTGAACACAAAACCTGGGTATTCCTTTAACAACCTAGAACAAAAATGAATCGTCTTGATTAAAAATGAATCAGTCACTAATAGTTACAAGTACAGACATTCAATAATTCTTCATGTATGGCAGGGCAGACTCTAATTTAATATTTATATGTTATCTACTGAAAATATAAAAAAAAAATAGTGGTTGTTTGGTAACCTTGATAACCTATTAACTTGTGTACCAGTGCAAACAGAAGGATTGTCTCTTTTTTTGTCTTGTCAATGTTTTGCATGTAGGTGCTGGTTGTTGTAAATATTTTCAAAAATTATTTAGTACTGAAAACTATCTCAGATTTGCACATGAAACTGGCACCATAATTAATGTTTTAACTAATGAAATACTGAAAAGCTTATTAACTAAACTATTGAGATCCTCTTACTAATTCTAATAATTTTGCTTTTTCACATGTGTCCTCTAAACCCAGTAGTCTTCTATATCTGAAACACAGATTGCTAATCCTTAGGGATAAATACTGGTGACTGGTATCTAAGCTTCCAAACAATTATTGCAATATACAGGAGTTGTGCAAGGTGCCATAATGTTACCAGTATGTGTTTAGAATTTGTGTACAAATCAAAAAGAAAAAAACTAAACAAAAAGGAGTTAACACGTCATTCACTCAGGGAAAAGAAACAAACATACCACAACAATTATAAGTTTACCCTTGTCCTGGTTTCGGCTGGGATAGAGTTAATTTTCTTCCTAGCAGCAGGCATAGTGCTGTGTTTTGGATTTAGTAGGAGAAGAATGTTGATAACACACCAATGTTTTAGTTGTTGCTGAGTACTGCTTATGCTAGTCAAGGACTTTTTCAGCTTCCCATGCTCTGCCAGGCGCACAAGAAACTGGGAGGGGGCACAGCCAGAATAGTTGATCCAAACTGACCAAAGGGCTATTCCATACCATATGACGTCATGCTCAGTATAGAAACTGGGGGGGGTGGCCAGGGAGCAGCGATCGCTGCTCGGGAACTGTCTGGGTATCAGTCGGCGGGTGGTGAGCAATTGCATTGTGCATCACTTGCTTTGTGTATCATTATTATTATTATCATTATTATACTGTTACTATTAGCATTACTATTTTACTTTATTTCAATTATTAAACTGTTCTTATCTCAACCCAGGAGTGTTTCTCACTCTTACTCCTCCGATTCTCTCCCCCATCCCATCGGGGTAGGGGGAGTGAGCGAGCGGCTGTGTGGTGCTTAGTTGCTGGCTGGGGCTAAACCACGACAACCCTCTAATCAAATTGCCTATTTTCTAGGCACTCAGAGAATTAATTCTATTTTTTTTTTTCCAACAGTATACTCATTTCAGATATTCTTGAGATGAATACAGAGCCATGCAGAAACCTACTTATGCCACAAGTTATAGGCAAGTCTTGTGTGGACGAAGTGTCTAATGGTTTTAAGAAAAGACTGTAATCAGTATCATTCAAAATTATTTTCCATATGGATATGGAAAAAAAAAAATCACCGTTGGCCAGCACTGTTCTTCTGACATACATAAGCACTGGCGATGCTAATGCTATCTCTATATTTGTTTAGAGTGCATGAACAAAAAGGTTACTTACTGTGTGCCCTAATACCTGTGCTACTTTTATCTAAATCACCTATATGAGATGATCTAAAGCTTGGCACCCTGTAAGTCACATTGCCCATACTGCAGGGGATGTCAGGATCCTGTGCCAAATTCTCTGTCTGACATTGGACACAGCACCTTGCCACAAGGCATTATCAGATATATGGCAGCGGGTACCAGCTCAGTAGGAACAACTGACTGTCCAGGCTACAGTGAGGGTAGCAGAGCTTCCTTAAAAGGAAAAAGTAATTTATATCCGTATTTCTGGTTATTTTACCCAGCCAGGCATATCACTTTCTACTAGTAGATTCACCCTCTGCAGTTCATTCTTATAAAACTTTCGACGACTCTGGAAGAAACAATAGTCTCTACCAGCTCAGTGGCATAAAATTCAGACCTGGACCTGGAGTTGAGATGTATACTGTTGTTACCATCCAAATTCAAAACAGTTTCCTACTATTTTGCCTGCCACCTATAAGATGGTGTTACTTGGCCATGAACATGTTGCAAGGTGATTTTTAAGTGCAATTAAAGAGATAATACAGAGAGAGTATTAGGTTTGGAGGACAAAGGAAATATGGTGTATTTCCCATGGGAGAGCCTGCTAGCTGTCTGCATAATCACACAGTACACATTACTAAAAATGTCTGATCTGAGTGGATAAATAGTACAGCCCATGTTCCATACTAAAAGGTTTAAACTGAGTTGGGATCAAGACCTGTATAAACTAAACGCTGGCATGGTTGTTTCACTGCAACCTATTCATTAATCTTCCCTAACCAAAAGAGAATGAAGATATGTAGGGTGATGTTTAACAATTCTTTAGTTAGGTTGTTATTTTCAAGGGCACCTGCAGCCAGTTTGGCATCCAGTTCACACAGAAAGCCACATAGCTCAAAGAGGAGCCAACTATATGAGAAAAGAAAAAAAAAGAAACACAAGAGGTATACAGCTGCAGGGTAAGAAGGAAAATTGGCCCAGACAGTCCATTTATTTTAAATGTAACATCTGAAAAATAGATATCAGCTGTTCTGCTTCATTTTTCTTGCTGCTGCTGGTTGCATTCTGACTAAAATAACCATGGTGCATTCATGAGCCGTCAGATAAAAAGAGAAAAAGGAAAATAAACAGCAGTACTTCAGAGGGGGAAAAAAAAAGAATAGGAAGGTAATGAACGGTAACTACTTCAGGTGGACATTTTACAGATATGAAGCACTGTACCTGTAAGTTGTTGGGCTGACATTTATTTTTCTAGGTATACTGCAAGATTCAAACTTATTGGCAAGGGTTACATTATTTCCAAAAAGGCAATAACGAGGCATTTTAACCCCAACAACTCCAGCAAAGACAGATCCAGAATGAAGGCCAATACGCATCTTTAAATAAAAGACAGAAAACAGCATTAAGTAAAATAAAATGGTTAAAGTCAGTTTTATATATTCTTCCTCTACTTAAAAAAAAAAAAAAGAAATAATGAGCTACTGATATAAATTGAGTTAGTACAGTCTCCGTAAAATATCTGTATTCTGGTCATCACTGCTCGTGGAGAGGAAACTAGCTGAAGTTTACCTTGCTTTGCATTTATAGTAAGTAACCCTTCATCTGATATGACTGTGATAACGCTGGTCTCTGTGGCAGTAAATTGATCTAGAAACATCAGCAGGAGTTACTATGACACTTGGATTGTTTCCTGGGAGGAATTACCTGACACCATGTTGTTGGACTGGTGACAGTTAATGAACAGTACTTGCTTTGCTGTTAAGGTAGAAGACAAGTTTTAGGGAATAGCAAAGATAGTATGTATATGCTGTAGTTCCAACTGAACTCTATTGACAAGGTTGCACATAGAGTAAATCCCAATCCCAGAGTACAGAATTTTGATTATTAATCAAATTATACAGCATTTGAAATATTTTGATACCTCTTCTTTGTAACTCATACTCAGATTTTTGAGTTTTGCTTAGCTAGTGCTGCTTTCTATGTTCCTTTTTTTTTTAGAGGTGTGTTCTTTTTCTTATGTGCATTATACATGTGTAGACATGTTTTCTTTGGAATAGCACTCTGACACCCTAACACCATGATGTCGGGAAGCTTGTGTATCTACTGTGTGTGCTGCTCTTTACATATCAAGTGAATATCATATTATGAAGAAGTCACAATTTCTAATTTTGAGTGTAAAAGCAGAAAAGCCTGCAACAAAAGCAAAATCTACCTACACAGCAAAGATGGCTGAAATATGTACATGGATATACAAGTATGATTTAAAGTAAGCGGTTTGCAGTCACACCTTTTTGTTTGAGAATGACAATGACAGTAGACTGTGTGACATATTTGTTGCTTTGCAAAACAGCCAATGCTTTCATGACACATTTCATTAAAATAGATGCATGCTTTCATTAAAAATAGAAAGATTCATTTTTCTTCTAAGAAGCTTCTAGTAGGTACTTATAAAATACAATTTTTTTCTCCCTATTTTAAAATTACTTTTTAAAACGTAATAGCATTCCTCATTCAAAATTACAGAGGTAGCACTGGCATGGAAATTATAAACATGTTTTAATATTGTCAAGATGTTTCCAGATTTTTTAAGTGTAATTTAATTTGATATTGTGAAATACAAAAAGAAAAACATTTATTTATAATATAATACTGCTATTCTAAATGTAGAGTGTGTAATCCTCTTAATAACCATTTTCTATGTCTTGGAATACAAATATTCCTCAATCTCAAATCAAAGAAGCCTGAAGTTTTCTAAAGGAACAAATGAACAGATAAATGTTAAAAATGAGCAATTGAAAGACATAATGAACTGAGACACCTGTATTAAAAATAGTAAGATCCCATTCCAGGACATTTCAACTTAGTAGAAGGTCCACATCATTTGTCAGGTACACAGGCCTTTCTCTTTTTTCCTCAGTGAGAGGTAAACCGACACGAAAAGTTCAGTACATGTGTAAGTCCTCATTGAAAGGAAGCCATAATTATAACTACCACCAAATCTAACAGTTGCTTTGACAGCATTAACACCATTATCTTATGGTAGTGGTTCAGTGTCTGACTGTAAAACAAGAACAGCAACAGAATCTTTTAAAGATGTGTGGGTTACTGCAATCAGAACATGTCTTTGATGATTCATATTTATACCTATTACCTCAAAAGTCTTAGATGTTCTCATTGGGTCTAATTCTGAGAGAGGATTAGTCTCCTCATTAGAAAACAGTAACAGAATATTTCATGTCACTGACAAATTTATTGCTACTGAGACAAAAACTGCAGCATGTCAGTGTGCACCTATTGATTTCACTGCATTTAAGTCTTTCGGGTTGATTTTCAGACCTCTGTTTCATCGTTACCTCTCCACAAAACTCTTTCATAGAACTAAATAGGTCAGCTTCTCCAGCTATACACACTTGATTCCCCAGCTTGTCTGAGTAAATGCAATGATGTGAAATTTCCTTGAGACAAAAACCCCAAAAGCAACTAAACAAACAAAAATGTCCACTTTAACCATATAAAATACAATAAAATATATGACCTTGATAGGCTCTCCATGGGGAGACACCACCTCATCTGACAGCTCCATCATCTTCAGGGCCATCAATGCTATTTGGACAGCATGTGTTTCACTTTCTTTGTGTAAACCTCCAGCGACACAGTAGGCATCTCCAATAGTCTCAACCTAAAACAGGCATATTTGTTCCTTACTGTTAGACTGTTTGAGATATAAAAGAATAGTCTGTGGCTTCAGTAAGAATTGTACCTACATACTGACTGAGTCTTATTTGTCCTGCTAAATTATTTAAGTCCTGGGCAAATCCTGCAGTATCATTCAAAAGGAAAAATTGCACAACTTGTATTTATTGTTGGGCATGATGCTGAAATACTTTTCCTTGCTCACTTGCTGTCAGGCACCCATAGCTACCTTAGACACCTATTTACTCCAGATTCACAGCACTGTCATTGAAATTAATTCTTTAAATTAACTCTGAAGTTTTGATGGGTTTCTCTCTTGGCTGCATGAATGGCTGATTCTGTTGATTTTTTTGTCTGTTTTGTGATTTATCTTAATACATCTTTCTTATAGTGAAGGTTTAGGGCAAAATACTTTTTGGACTTCTATTATCCTCTGTCCCGCTTAGTCTTAGTTTCCTTTCCTGCCCCAGAACCCCACAGAAATGCAATAAATTGTGTACCTTGTAGACATCTAGCTCTCCACATTGGTAATCAAAGCGAGTATAAAGCTCATTAAGCATGGTGATAACCTGCATAGGTGAGCACTGGGAACAGATGGCAGTGAATCCAACAATGTCAGAGAAAAGCATTGTGACATTATTAAATTTCTTGGCTTGCACAACTTGTCCCTGCCATAGCTGCTGAGCAACCTCTCCAGGAAAAATTGAAAACAGAAGATCTACAGTCTTCTTCTTTTCTTCTTCAAGGGCTTGATGGGCCTGCTCAAGGGTTGCTTTTAGCTTTCCTAACCTCTTCTTCAGTCCATCCTGAGCTCTGGCCTGCTCTCCTATCAGAACAACATCTCTCAATGCATTGTGAATGGGAATATCTGAGAGGTACAATCCACGTCCTGTAAAATCTTCTAGTCTGTCCACACACGGAGATCCCAAGAATAGGATGGCACTGGATTCAAAAATATAGATCATTTGGCCTTTAAGATCCATTACCTGAAACAGTTAAAGAAACAAGAATTCATGCAAAACATGCATGGCAATGGTTTAGAACCAAGAGGTTTTAGAGAAAATACATTTTGCTGAAACGTAGGAAAATCAGACTGGTCCATAGTCCTTACATTTTCATTTAGTTGCTTAAGAGAAAACATGGGGTGCTAAATCATAGAGCCATCAAATAAGTTTATTTTTCTTGAGCCTTCTGGTACAAAAGTTAGACCACAACTTAAGGATAAACACCTAATCATGTCCGAGTATCAGTATCAGTTTTAGCTTAGGAAGAAATGAAAAACAAAAAGAAGAATTTTGTGCAATTTTTTATATATTGATGTTACTGACTACAGTGGCCTATGGATTTCTGCTACTAACTAGTGTTTAGTTCATACACCACTTTCTTTGTAAGATAAAGTGAGAAAATCTGCTTCAATTTTATCATACTATGTTCAATACTCACTGCAATTTAAAATTAAAGGCATAGATGGCAGAAATATCCCATTTTAATGATCTAAAAAAGCAAAATATTCTGTGTGAAGTGTTTTTATGTCCCTTCGGTATTTAGCTGTGTAATGTGCAAGGTGCTGCAGAGCTCTGCTTAACATTGCTTTGAAAGACCATTTTTTGAAGAAAACCTGTTACTTTCTAATAGACGTACACATATGTAAGTACATGCAAAAGTAAAGCAGAGTCTACTACCCCTTGTAATCATGAAACTGTTGCCTAGTGCTGAAATGGATCTGAGATGAAGTAGCTAATCAGTACTACATTTTTTCCCACTTCATTAATAAGTGGGTGAAACCTTTATTACCATTCTTCATTTAAGTTCTTGGAGTGTTGAGACTGAATTGTTAATTCATCCCCGAGTGCTTCAGGTGTATATAAGCTGGAATTCAGCTGGGGTCAGTGATGAATAAAAGCAGTCATTGAATATTCAATGTCCCAGGTCATTTGCCAGAGACCCAGCTTCAGAAAAGATAGCAAGTAATCCCATCAGCTGAAACTAAGTGGGACCTTTGGCAATTGCATCTGATGAAAACATCAGAATATCAAAGATACCAAAATACCAAAGATACCAAAAGCTGAATGAGCACAGGAAATGTCTACTTCTTTCCCCAAACCCTAGAGCTGTTGTTTCCAGATGATTGAGGGGCACTTTGGTAAAGCTTCCCTGCCACTGTCTTTGTGTTGGAGATGCCCTTATTCTCAGCAGCATGGCATGTCATTGGCTTTATCTCAGTTTAATGAGTTTATCTCATTATATCAATTTTTTTTTAATAAAATCAAGTTAACAGTCAGCTACTTGTGTAAAAGTCCTAAAGCAGGGTTTTGACTGAATGTTGGCTTCAGAATCTGAATTACGTTAGAGTGCCCTCAATAAAACATTATTATTCTGTTGTATTACATGTTGAGAGGTAGACGATGCAAAGTGCACCATGTTTTGTGGGTATTTTAACTCTATCTGAAGAAAACAAATTCCTCACAGAAGTAATAGTTATAAAAGGTCTCTTACCATGGATGACTTCATATCAGTATTATCCCGTCTTCTGACTCGTACAGTAAACTGCATATTTAGCATTGTCATGATTCCACTAAAAGTGCAGCTTACTTTGGGGGTAAGAATTTCAAAATACTCTTCAAAATTGGGCTTAGCTTGAAAGTCTCTCCTGGTCAAAAGTCTTCTTATCCCATTTCCAATTTGAAGAACTGACATATCCTTGTCAAACATAAAATGAAATGGGAAAGTCTTACAGAACACAGAGGCAGGAATCACAAGTGAAGACTGTGGTTTACATGGAGATAAGGAAGGTCTTGTGCTTTTGACTTGTATAGAGTACAGCAAATAAGGCTGATTAGCAAACTCAGTGCAGTCATTATGGAAACAAGGAGGCATGAGCATCACTTCCACCTCAGTTTCGTACAAAATATGAGCTGCTGCTTTAATAATACCAGATAGAATAAGACTCGTGATTTTTTTAGGGAAGAAATAATACACGTTTAAGAAGTCCTGATCTTTCTCCAGGCATAATATGGAGGCTTCTTCAAGTCTGTCCTTTTTTCCTGCTTCTTGGCTGTGGCCACTCTGCTTCAGCAGAGTAGTGAAACTGTTCAAGAAGTCCTTAAGGGTTCCTCCAATAACCCCTAATATGTGTTCATCCTCTTCATAGCATATTTTGAATAGCTCTTCACCAAGAGATTCCCGTAGAGACTCCACGGGAACACCTGCATGGAACCACATTTTAGTCAGAACTGCACTCATCACGCTGAATCTCAGGCTAGCCTCCACTTTTTTTCATGCTAGACCAAATTGAATTAGCAACACCCTTCCCTGATTCAGCATGGACACCTGAGGGCCTTCTCGTTTAGGAGTCCTGCTGTAACCAAAGACATACTCATGTTGCCTGGAAAACAGAGAGACAGTAGGTTGTAATTTGGAAAGGTCCAAGACTCAGTGTTCTTTGTAGACAGAATGAATGCATGTTTTGGCACAGGATTTAACCCAATTCCCTTAGCTTGATATAAAGAAATAAAATAAGAATTTAAAAACTTAAAATAAAAATAAAAAGTAAGAATAAAATAGAATCTGTGTACACATGCAAATATAAGTACTATGCCTGATCCAATAAATGAAATGACCCTAGCAATATTCCAGGGCACTGAGGCCAATTGGCACAGAACAGCTCACATCTTTGCTAGTAAATTTGTTTTAACAGGATAGCTGCATGCAGACTGACTGTTGGGAATGTTCCAACTCCCCAACTGTTACTGGGAATCATTTGGAAAAGTGTTATCTGTCACAGGCCAACCGTGTGCCAGGACCAGCTTAACAGTTTAAGTGTATGGAAGACCACAATTCAGTTCCTGGAAATGTTAGTTTACTATTACAGATGTAACTAGGGAGGTCCGTATTGCAAATTACAGCAGTTCTCTTCTGACAGACTACAGTCATTCAGAAGATGAAAAGGATCAAACAGCTTTTCATGAGTATAAAACTGTAACTTATTACTGGATGTATGTTACAACTCCCTCTAGATGTTGGATCTTAGGGGTGGATGATTCTATGACAGCTCAGACTTGAGAAACTCAACTCTCTAGCTCAAATTTTGACACTCTGAACTGTTCGTTGCAGAGATCACAGTTCAGGCTCTGTGTTGTCAGCATCACTGCAACCCTTACATGGAGGAAATAATTTCTTAGTAACAAGACTAATTTATATATACATATATTATTTTATACATATAACATATATAATCTCTATATGTTTTATATAGGCCTGTTATTAAACAAGCTGGCATTACCTGCTGCATTAGCATGATCACTGATTATTTTTTCAAAATCTTCTCTATCCCCAGTTTTTCTGTAAAGATCATAAAAAGATAAATAAACCCCCTGAAAAGTCAAGATAAACATGGTAAAAATAGCAAGTAACAGAAGTTACCTACCCTGTCTTTCATGTGTACAGACCAAGTTTTGATGATCAAATAGGCAGTTTTTCATTAATTCAAAATAGGTTCTTGGTAGGATCTTAGATTATCCTGTGCATTTGTGATAAAGTTTTAATAGTCTGAGCTTAGATTATGGATTGAGGCCAAATGCTATAGACAGTCATTGATTAAAAACTCTTAGTTTTCAACAGTCTTATTTTTGTTTGGTTCAGTTTTTTTGCTTGAAGCCGTAACTATATTTCATAACATATTGTAAAATATGATTGGAATTTATATTGAAGCATTTATTGGAATTACATTGCTTTAAATTCAAAAGAGGTGAGAAGGTATTTCTGTTTTGAGAGGAAATACCAACTATTAACTCCAAATTACTTGTTCATTGGAAGTAATCCAGATTCTGTGACACAAAACTGCAGCCCTCTGAGGTCTCTGAGGTCAATAAACGTCAGCCTGAATGTCAGAGCCAAAATGATGAGAAGGACATGTAGCTTAGATTAACCTCCATATAAGCAATAAGCTTTTGATACATGCTTTCTGAATTTCTTCACTTGAAATACCTTATATTTATATGCAAAAACAATAGACATTTAGATCTGTTCTACATGTTCATTATTACATCATTCAGAATAGCATAATAATTTTTTGTTTCAAACTAATACTCCAAGAAGCAACACATAATTAAAGATAGGGAAAATATTCATAACAATAAGCCAGTCAGCAATTGCAATGCACATCTGACCAGTTATCTTTGGTTCAGTCAATGCATGTAAAGTGCTCTGAAAATACCAAGTATAATTTAAAAGATACATTGTAATTATCTTTTATTATCAAAGTGAGCAACAGTGTAGCTTCCAACTTCATTATTTTTCTCCGCTTTTGAAAGGAGATTTAAACTGAGGGGCTTATTTTTTCAGATGTATTCAATAAATTGAATCCTCAATGTATAATGAAACACTAAGAAATTCTCACTCCCTACAAGCCTCAAATGATTAATATTGGATTAGTACTAAGGAGTGCTGAAAACCAAGCTGAGTTCCTCAGAAACAGAAACCAGAAGCCAAGTGAGCCCAGTGAAAACATGTATGTCAGTATCTGTAGCGTATGATTGTTCACTGTATCAGAAGCCAAATTTTTTGTATAATACTAATCATTTGCATTTAAAATTCTTTTCCTGAAATCTTAGAAACACGGGGCTAGATCCATATGCAACCATATCTACGTTTCCAGCTATGCCTGAGTAGCCTCTGAGTTCCTCCAAAACACTTGCTCATTTTAAACGAAGTTCTTGTCTGTTTCCCTGCACAAATGGCTAAATTTGCCCATTAAGTCAACTTTATGAGTGATTTAAATATTCATGAATATTTAAAAATAAACTAAATGATTATCAACTTACATTACATGAAATGTTACACACATATTTGTCAAGATAATTGAAAACAGATTCCAGAAGTCCTCATTCCCAGTCACCACCCCAGTCCTTATGAACTGTCTGCAAAACATTTTTGCTGTGAAGTTAGTTGCAATCCCGTTACACATGCATACCTGGTTTCTTTTATTCTGTGTTTTGCAAGTGTTCTCTGAAGTGCAAGATTTAGCCTTTCAAACTGGGGAAGAAAAGAATGTATGTTGATTAAAATGTCATTGCTGAAAATTTAATCACATGAATAACATTTTTATAAGGAGAATAATTAATTCGCTGTCCTTGGGACTAACACCTTTTTTCAAGATGGTATAGTTGTTAGAAACAGCATGTCATTTCTGTGTTTGTGGTTTAGTTGATGTTGACGTCTCCAGCTCCAGAACCACTATAATTAAGCCCCTTAAGCTCATGTGTGCCAGTGGTGGTGCATTTTAAATATAGTGATATGCTTTACCTCCGAGTTCTCAGATGGTAATAAAGACAGTGCTGCTAAGAAATAAGTATATCTTACCCCAACTTTCTATTATTACATGTCCCCCCCAAAAAACCCCACCCTACCATGGATGCAAAATGTAGAAAGAAATCTTTTCAGTTTAAAATATATTCTCCTAACAGAAAAAGCCAGTAATATTCTGCATTATGCCCAGAGCAAAACAGTAAAAAGTGGCTTTTCTACCTAGTAACTTTTCTTGGAACATTAAGAGTTAAATTTTTTTTCAGGGCAATTTTCAGAAGTGTCAAGATTGAAATTGCAAAAGGTAACAGAGTTTCAAATGCAGCTATAAAAGATCAATACAGCATTCCCTGCTTCAGAATACCTCCTTTTCTGTTTTCAAGGCTATAGCATTTCAAGACAATGTTAGAACCATTTATTTCATATTTGTAGAAAAAGAAGAATTTTGGCTATGTATCCTGCAAACCAAAATACCCTCCTGATGAAAGTCTAGTCACTGTAGATAACTTTGTAAAAAGATTCCATAATAAAAGACCCTTTAGAGCATCATGAAGATTTACCTTAATTTGCCTTGATCCCATGGTTCCATATCCTTTCTGTATTTCCTAATAGGAGCAGGTACAACACTTTCCAAACATGCATATTTCAAATTGTTGGGGCCAGTAAAGCTGTCTTATGTATGTAGTCTCTGATCATTCAAAACCCGAACTTCCCATAAAGACAGGGTCATAGAATGGTACTATACTGCCGTGATAGAGTCTGGCTGTGAGGATTGCTGTGGTCTGGCTTTTCTTTGGTTCTCATTCCCTGAAGAAACTAGCATGTTCCACGCATCTTTTACTTTTTGTATTTTCAAAAGGAAAGTTTGAACACCCAAAGAAAATATCATGTGAAAGAAAGGCATTTCTGTCTCCATATTCTGGAGACTTTTTCTAAGCAAAAATCTAAATTGAGTAACTGTTCTACCAGGTATATGAACACAATGTAAATTACATCTGTGTGTAAAGTGGTACAGTAAGTGGAACGCCATCCAATTAATTACTTATCTCCAAACAATGTTCTCTGTATTTCTGTAAACCCCCAAAGAAGCAAATAAAACAATCACACGCACTACATTATATCTCAAATTTAATAAAAAGTTATTCAGGATGCACTATGTCCTGGACTTCCATGCACAACTCACTGTTTTCATGAGGTGTTCATGAATCAGTCGGGGTCATGATGCAGCCCCCTGTTTTGGAGTTTCCAATTGGAAAGAACATGATGTTAGTTGTTTATGGTTAAGTAAGGCACTATACTGTATCTAAGCAATGAAAAACATGTTTTTAAACAAGCAAAACCCTTCTATGGAGAACAAGGATTGGGAGGATGCTTAGGTCTTGACCCCAAATCAGCATGAGAACAGACTACTATACTTGGACAAAGTTCCAATGAATATGACTTGAATAACTGTAAATAGCAGTGACAATAACCTTGAACTTCAGTAGCTCCTGGGGTACATGGTCATAATATCCTTGACTTTACCAAGCTTTTGACCCAGCTGATGAACTAGCCTATCATGATTATATAGTAGGCAGCTGCACACATTTATACCAGTCTTTAAAGAAAAAAAATACCAGTTATTTCATTAAAAATCCCACAAACAACTATATACTAGAAAAGCAATAAAGCAATCATGACAACATAGAAAGGGTGCTTTGCCAGTTCATTATTGAGTTAAAAGTCCTTTCCTTTATACATTTAAAGAGATTAATTTCTTCTGTGTAACTACAGCAGAGGTAAAAAGGGGTCTATCAAAAATGAATTATGTAGAGATTTAGCAAAAGGGTAATAGATGAAGTGTTGCAAAAACAGATCGGCAAATAGATTTAACAAAAATCCAGCACTTTTAGTAGGGTACACTGAATGTCCAAGTAATAGAATTGTAATTAATTGAGTATACAGAGTTGGCCATTTGCCATTTGTAGTCCCAATATATACCAGTCAGTTCCTTCACATTTTCGAAAGAATTTGAGGCAAGCACAAGTGTTGAATGTTATGGAGCTGCATTTTTCATGTTCTTTTTACAGAGACAAACTATGGTATTCATCTCCACTCAAGCAAACCACTGTGCATGCACCGTAGCTGTTTTCAGTTGAGTTGAGCAGGGACATAAGAATACCTTTGTGGTAAACACACAGATTAATGTTTTTAAAAATAGTGTGGCAGGAGGTTAGCATCATAGCAGTTGAAAAAGGCTATTTTAATTTTTTGTGATAATGACTAATGTACATACATACAGTATGGATTCAGGTGAATTGATGAGGTGACCACATAATTTACATAGATAACAAAGCAGAGTTTCTCTAATTGTATCTCTATGTAAACAAATTGCTACAGAAATACATGGATTTAAAAGGAACAATTAAAATGATCAATAGAAGGTTGCAAATACAAGGCAAAAATATAGGCAAATACAGTGGAAGGGATGTGGCAAAATTGTATCCAGAAGGAATGGAAGAGGATGAAATGAGGATTTAAACTAGATGAGAACACAAACTTTGAAGTCTAAACAACTTTCTGAAGGCTTACATCTAAAGGCTGGCATAAAATGCTTTTTTAATAGTTATAATTAAGTGCTATTAAAGTATTATTATTATGCAGTATCTATTTACCTCAGGAAAGATTAGTTTGCAGATGCTTTCTGTTAATGTGTGCAGGTACACTCTACTTCTGCTTGTTTTCCTTTGTGGAAGGGTTCCTTGAGTGTCTTTTTCATGGACTTCTTTGCAGATGGGCAAAGCTGCTCTAGAGCTGTTTTCTGTGCAGTCCTTGTCATGTTCCTCAGTAAAGTGACTTTGAGTCAGTAAGGAGAAAGGACATTCTCCTGTGATCTTCAAGTCTTTCAGTTTTGTACAGAACATACTGTACGAAGCCCCTCTCTTGAGATTAAAAGTACTTGGCTTTGAGTTTAATAGTTCTCTTCTGTTTACTAACAAGAGCAGAAGATGCCAGAACAGTAGATAAGGCAACGACTGTGGAAGATTATTGGTAGCTATGAATCACCACAGGAACAAATGTGTGCCCCTACAAAACAAGAAAGAAAAAAAAAATTAAAAACATTTATTTTCTCTTTTAAATTCCTGTGATGTGCCAGTTTTATCATATGTGCATTAAAAAAATGGCTTTTCTAGGACCTTGCTCAGGAAAGCACTTAAGCTCATGTGCCATTTTAAGCATGTAATCCCTACTGACTTCAGTGCTTCAGGTAAAGTTGTGTGCATGGTTAAGTTCTTGGCTGAATTGGGGCTCTAGTGATTGAGGCAGAGGAGTTGTTTTATCTGATATATCTTCGGTCACATTGATGGATGAGGTCTCTGAAAGAGTAGAGAGCGGAATTCTAATGAGAAAATCTTTTTAATTCTTCATAAGCAGCTATTAAAAACTACCTGATACGGCACAATGAAACTGATTTGTTATGGATACTTAAATCTCAATTTACTTTATGCCCAAGATATCCTTTTTGTAATAGAGAAATGTATGACTAAAGTTAGGACTTGCACTTCTGGAACAGCAAACCATCCAAGACCAAAGGTTAGCGCCTCATGTAAAAGCCACTGACTGGTAACAACTGTCCCAACAACTGTCCCATGATGGTCCCAACATCATGGGAATTTGACCACATAACTGAAGCTGGTTGGAAACACCAAGGGATTTTTATGCTTTTGAAGGCGGTATCTTTCAAACAACACATTAAAAAAAGGGCTGAACTTTTCATTTTAATAATTGTTCCCTGTTTGTTACATTTAATTCAGTTAGACTTAATCCAAAAAAGGCTCTTCCCTTAAGGGTTTCATTTTCTATTGACTGTATCTCATTGAATCAGATCCTCTCATCCTCATATAATACTCTAACAAGGTAATCCTTGAGAGCTTTTGGTGACTCTGGAAGAGGCTGAAGTATTACATTTGTCTCTCTGGAGATACAGTACAATAACTATTTCTTTCAGAGGCACTATGGCTTTAATCAATCTGTGCACCACACTGCTTATTTCTGCCCCTGAGACACCCAAAGGGCTTTTAGGGTCACACAGCAACTGTACCAGGGTTAAAAATAACTAATTCCCTGATACAGGTTATCAGCTGCTTCTTTTGCAACAGCTGGAATGAATGGCACAGTAGAGGAGTGCTGCGGACCCAGCACAAGTGGCATGGATAAGAGGAGAAACAAGCAGAAGCTACTTTGGCTGGACCTGCTGCTGAAAAAAAAAATTTGGCAGAAAAGGCTGTTTTAAAGTATGCTGTAATACTGATGGTGTCAGGCCAGCCTCTAGGGGACATCCATCAAAATTATTAAAGCATTCTTTTAAGAATCAATAAACACAATGCTAAGAACAAGAGGCTGAGGAATGTTTACATAACATTATATATTTCTGATTTCTGTTTTTACATAGCAACTCATTTGTTTCTACTGCATGGATATCAGTACTGCTTTATTTTTTATTGCTGAATACTGTTGCATAGCAAATGAGGCTAAATGCATAAATATACATAACATTTTTCTTTATAATGTAAGCATTGTTATATACATATAAAAGTATTTTTATTCAGGAGCCATTACATAACCTTGTATTACTTTACTAAAAAAGAAATCAGAAAAGAATCACATTTTCTGTAGTTATATGGATCTGTGTACTGAAATAAACTGTTAAGAAAAATAGTAACATATACATGCACTATTGTCAAAGGATAAAAAAATTTATGGCTCTTACATATATACTCATATGCTTTGCTGAATTTGGGCCTTAAATTCCAAGATGAATATTGAATTTATAAAATTCTAAAAGTTTTTACTAAATACTAAAATTTTTTAAATCAAGTATACCAGCATTTTGGAAGGAAAAAAATTTCTGAAATATATTTTTGTGAAAAAATGTATAATAAAACATTTAAAACATCTCCCAGTGAATGTAATACTGCATTTATATGTGCTGCTATTTAAGAAAAGGAAAAGTTTCTCTCTGTGTGAAGAATGTAAGACTGAATTAATGGTTACATTAGATACCAACAAATATTTACTGCATTTGCACTAAACTAAGAACAAAGGCAGTGAATGACTTTCAGCAATTACCAATAGTTTTGATGTTTTTTTTTTCCTGCTGGTGAAACTATTTCTCTGCTTCCAGAAGACAATAATCTGGAATTATTTGGGGGTTGACTTCCACGCTAGCATCTTCTATTTTAATTAAATTGCATTTGACGTGTTAGGAAAAATACCCAGGCAGGTAGAATCGGCTCTGTGAAGAAAGTGACGCCATTATTTTACACCTGGAAAACCTGAAGTCTCCAGAAGCTGCCAAGTGGGAAAGACAGGTCCCAGAAGATGGTTATGGGCCAGAACTTATTGAGGGGCAAAATGGGCACTGATGTGAAGGTCCCTGAGTCGACAAAGCTCTGCTGGACATGCAGCTACTGTGTCTGCAGCTTCACTCTGCGATGCAGCCTGCCATCCTTTGTGCTGCAGGACACCCACATTCAACCTCTTCCTGCCTGGTGGGGACCAGAATCTGTGCCCTTGCTCTGAACATGACCTTGGGCTCCTGCCAATTGCTATTTATGATGAAATAATGATTGATTTGCAAGAAAGTGGGGATCCATGGTGTTTTAGTAATAGTACTGTTGTACAAAACCAGTATCATTAATGTACAGATCTTTAAATTCCAAATAATGGTGACACAGTTCCTAAAGAAAGCTTCCTGCAGAACTATTTTCTAAGTATCCTGGAGTTCTTGTTTTCCCAGAAACAAATGGGATGGTCCTTTGATAACATATATGCCAGATCAAAATCACTATCAACTTAATAGGCATCACAATTTTCAAGCAGTGACCAATTCAAGACTCTTCCTGACCTCTGCAATGACAAGACCCCTAAATCACATCTTTAAGGAAACAAAGCGGAAAACCTAATTCCATGACATTTCAGAGGATTCAAATACTGAAAAAAACCATGCATAAACTAGGTCTTCTTTTATTAAAACATCAAGTTTGCATCTGGTATCCTAAGTGCATCTTGCACTTAATATAACTAAAATTCAGAAGTCTATTGTGTTATAGGAAAACCTGCCTCACTCAAAGAGTAATTAGACAGTGGTTTTAAAGGTCTGACAGGAGAAAGATAATGAATCACCAGTGTAGAGTTTACAGAAGGAATTTCAGCAGTATAATGGACCTTAAAAAGGTATAAGAAAGATGATGGCACATATCACAGGTTAAGTCAAACTTTTGCAGATGTGTTTCAAGAATGAGGAACACCAGCCCTCCCGTTGTTCACAATGTTTAAAGACATTTTCTGACCGTAACAAAAAAATAAGAAACATGAGGAAACATGGGAAAAGTTCTTGGTTTTAATTCCTCTCCAAACACACTTTGAGAGAGCTCATCCCAGGGGAGCAGCAATATTTAATGTGAATTCTCCATCTCTGCCATATTAATTGCTGTTATATTTACCTTGGGAAGTAAATTGAAAATTAAAATCAAATAATCTGCTGTGAGATCAAACTACAAGCAAGCAATTTATTCAGTGTCTGGCTGAATGCAACATGGCACTGTGCCACCCAGAAAAATGAAGATGACTTTACATAGTATAGTTATAGCGGCAGAATAACTTAACTGTGCTGAAAATGCTTTGTGCAAACATTTCATTGTATATTTACATCTATACTTGTCTTACAACCAAAATGCCTTCCTGTATGCTTATTTGTTCTAGTTGCTTCTGAACATTTTCCTCTGCTAAAACATTTCCTTGACAGTGCCATGAAATACAGTGCAATGAATCAATCGTACAGTAAAAGCCCCTAATATTAACACAGCCATTTATAAGAATTAAGAAATACCACTTGTTAACAGTAGCTAAAGGTGGTTTATAATCTTAGGTTATGGACATGGGACAAAAATTAGAAGCAACATTAAATATTTTTTTCTTATTACAAGCAGAGTCCTTTGCTCAGAGTAGGACAGAATATGGTATTATGCTACAATGCCACTTTTTTATTTTTAATCATACAAATTACTTTTTTAGGTGAACTGCTGCATGTTGAGCAAGAATTAAAAAAAAAAAGTTTGTTTTGCAGCAGTCAGAAGACAGCACTGACTGGATCTAACTTTCTCCAGCAGGAGAGTGATTGCAGCACTTGGAGGAGCTCAGTACGGTCTTGGAGCCATTTCCTCAACAGAAGTAGCTGTTCACTTAGGCAGCTGTCTTGCCTTTATGTAAGACTGAGGCTTGCAATTCCCACTCAGCTCTAATCTCTGTGGGATTCAGAAATCACTGCCTTTTGCCCCTTGCCAGCCAGCAGGCCTCTGCACAGAGCAAGGCAGGAACTGTTAACTTTTACGCGCAGGCAAAACACAATCAGCTTCCAGCAAGACAGGTTAGTACCCATCACCCTATCAGTAGCAGCTCATTGTGGATTCAGCGGTTGTGCCTGTCAGCAGACAAACACAGGGAAAATAACTAAATCCTATAATTTTGTCTTATTAAGCTGAAGTGCAATATCCACACTTTTTCTACTTCAAGTGCTGTGCGTAGCAACAGAACCAAAGCCCTGGTGATTTGTCCGTCTCCAAGGATTTTAAGGAGGCTTCTAAAGTACTCAGAGGAAATTGCTCAAGTCCACATCAATATATAAGTTAATATTTTAAGAAGTTAAAGTAATCATTTATTAGTCTTATTAAATCCTGTACAAAGAAGTAAGCTTTCTTTGGCTGCTTCATTGTTAACCTAAACACAGAGCGCACACACCTTCAAAGCCTTAATTTGTTTGGGTATTGCTGCTTTGGAGAGCACAAGATGTAAGTAACTGGAGGAGATAGGCAAATCTGTTTACAAATTTCTGAGTGGTAGTGTGTCGTACCTAATAGAAAACTGTCAATTGTTGACTTAGGTAGAGAACATCTTGGAAAAGATGCGTCCTTATGAAGAGGAGTGAGATGTTTTCCTACATCTCCCCAGTCAGAGACTAACCCATCAACTGAAATTTGAGGATGCCTCATTTACCCCTTTCCAGTAATTTGGTCCTGGCATTAACA